TATCAACAGATTAAATAAAAAAGGGTACCCTTTTTCGTCTTATTATAACAGATCATATTTCACAGAAAAGGGTACCCTTTTTCATATTACTATGTAAAGAACATAGTTGACCGAATAGGGTACTCTGTTTCGTCTTAGTACAAAACAACATGGTTGACAGAAAAGGGTACCCTTTTTCGTCATTTTACAAAACGATGCAGTTGAGCGATAATCGTACCCTTTTCAGTTATTTTTATGGAGATTTGATTTGTATAAATTCGTTAGATAATCCGCTTTTTCGCTTTTAAGTTGAAACTTGGATCGACGTAAAAGGGTAATTAAAACGAACCAATTCCCTTATCACAAAATCTCAAAAAAGGGTACCCTTTTATGAGAAATAAGGTAGGGCTTTTAGACATTTTTCAAAAATAATTTATGACATCGAAAAGGATATGGAATTTTGTGTTATCGATAAGAAATATGTGAGTCGAAAGATAGATTTGCTGCAAATTTAACTTTCAACTTTCAGAATTTTCTCGATTTTAGAATTGCCGGAACCGTCCACTGATTAGCTAACAGGTTTTGTAGATGGAAATTATCAAGTGTGAATTTTATATAGTTACATTTATTTGACCTAACCAGGAACAGCTGAGGAAAATGCAATTATATTTATATACGTTCTCTGACAGGAATCGAACCTGCGGCCCTGCGATGCTTTATGGTCTTTTCGTCCCCTTCACGTTTCGTCCCATTCACGTTTCGTCCCCTTCACGTTTCGTCCCCTTCACGTTTCGTCCCCTTCACGTTTCGTCCCCTTCACGTTTCGTCCCCTTCACGTTTCGTCCCCTTCACGTTTCGTCCCCTTCACGTTTCGTCCCATTCACGTTTCGTCCCATTCACGTTTCGTCTAAGACTAAGGAAGCAAAAAACTTAAAAAATCTTAGGTTTTGTCCTATATGTCGAAGATTATCACAAGCTGACAAAAACACAGTTTTTATTCCAGTCCCCCTCGACGAACTGACGTCCGTGTTGTCAAAAACATTGCGATCTTAAGCTCACTAATGGCAGTCATTGGTCTAGTTTTCCTCAGACTCAGTTCCAATTAAAATTAAGTAAAGTCAAGTGTCACTATAATAGTCACTGACAACAGCAATATTAATATTGTGAAATAAAAGCCAAATATTTAAGTTACATTTCAAAGTTTCGGAATTTAAATACAAAAATGTGTATTATCCAGGCATACAATCCACCTGAGATACAATCTCAAAAAGTAAGATATATTGTATTACGGAAGTAGGTTATAGATAAAACAGAGTCTAGTGTGGGGACGAAACGTGAAGGGGACGAAACGTGAAGGGGACGAAACGTGAAGGGGACGAAACGACCGGGAACGAAACGGCAAGGGGATGAAACGACCGGGGACGAAACGGCAAGGGGACTAAACGACCAGTTACCGATTACGGTGCAGCGCTCTAAGGCCAAAAAAAAAAATATGTGGGTTTCCGGTTTCTTCTTATAAAAACTAAGGTAGGGTAGGTCGGTTTTAACTTTTTTTTTTAAACTTTTTTTTTAATTTTCCGAACAAGCGGACGCCATTTTGTTTAGTCAGTGCTTCCACTTCCAAAGATAAATTTCCCTAATATTGCCTCAAATTTCAATTTTCCACAAACTTTTTCCTCTAAGTGGAAACACTTACAAGCATGATCCAATAAAAAAGTTTAGGGTCGGGATTTCGACGTCCAAAAGCTAGGTAGGGTCGGGAAACCGGAAACCCACATATTTTTTTTTTGGCCTAACCAACTGAGCTACAGAGGCCAGTACGTTGTCGAGCTCTAACCACAAGTTCATGATGTACATATACTTGGTCTAGGGTACTACCATGTTAAGTTATATGGGTGAATATCAAGATTTTGTTGGCATCTCACTCGATTGAATAATAATTGAAGGCTTTTGTAGATGGAAATTATCGAGTGTAAATTTATATACATTAATTCCCAGCTGTTTTAGCTTTAGTATCTAATGGCTTTTGTTATTTGTACTCATAGAAACACAGCAAGATCCAGACTTCATAGTAGCAGCCCGTGTTGAGGCATTCATAGCTGGCTGGAATCTAGATGAAGCCCTCAGAAGAGCAGAGGCATATAGGAATGCAGGAGCTGATGCCATACTCATGCATAGCAAAAAATCTGATCCATCTGATATTGAAGCGTTTATGAAGGCATGGAAAAACCAGGTTTGTGCGAGAGTGTCGATGAGGTGCTAAACCCCTTGGCGCTATGAACTGAAAATTCGACTAAGTTTATTTATATACAGTAGAACTCCGCTCAAACAAGGGAACCAAAACAATTCGAGATAGCGGGGCTAGAATTCTTACAATTGGTGATTACGAAAACCGCGGAATCGCGCGCGGATCCCCTCGCTCGAAACAACGTGCGATATTTTTGCGTCAAAACATTCAGCCGTTCCAAACGTCGTGAAATCAACATCATGATAGGCAAATAAAAGGAATGTGGTCGCATTCACTGAATGTTTTGTCGCAAAAACATCGCACGTTTTTTCGAACGAGAGGACGGATACGCGGTTTTGGTAAAATAAATTAAGAAAATAGGATACGCATGTGACGAGGAAGCCTGATTCCCAGGCTAACTCTCATTCTATTAACAGGGTTCTCACAAGCTTTGAAAGTCCTTCAATTTAGAAAAAAAACCTGGTTGCGACGTCCCTGCGAACGACAACTACTTCGCTATACTACTGATCCTTGAAATGACCCTACTGTGGAGATGGTTTAATCGTTTCAATTCTGTTTGTTAGGGACCGGTGATCATAGTTCCAACGAAATATTACAAAGTACCAACAGATCATTTCAGAGATCTGGGAATTTCGTTGATAATATGGGCTAATCACAACATGAGGGCTTCTGTAGCCGCTATTCAACAAACCACGCGGCAAATATACCAAGATCAATCTCTTGTCAATGTTGAAGATAAGGTACGTATAATTTCATTAGTTCATTGACATTTACAGATCGATGAACCAGTAACAGAAAACAACATTACCAGTGCCTTGCGGACATTTGATAGGTTGATTGTAATCTGATCAGCCAATCAGGTTTAACAGGCCCACATTTTCCTTCGGGCTTGCCCTGGCCATTCAACCTACAAATTTAAGGGTGAGAAAAAGTAGGTGTGTGCTCAGGCTACCCTTTACCACAGATTGAGAATATACCAGATGTGTAGCTTCGTAGAACTTCGTGTCCTCAACCATAGATTAAGTATACTTAAGGTGGCTCCCTACAGTTTTCTAAAATTTTAGATATTTTAATAGGTAACCTTCGCGTCCGACCATGTTTATATTGAATACACTTAAGCCAGGGCAATATGATAATTTTCAGGAAAGTTAAGAAGCTTTGTTAGCTCAGTGTGTGTAAGATGTACACGTCATGCTCACGCCATGACACTTGCTAGCAAAATCACAGAATAAGAAGGTACAGCAGAAGTGTAACTCAAGCAAGTATTTGTCCGCGTTTTTACAAGCGATTCGTCATCAATCACGCCATCCTGGCTAGTAAAACCCGCACTTTGTACCTACCAAAACCTGATAAAAACTTCCGGTTGTACTAGCCAGGATGGCGTGAGCGAGTTAAAATTTTCGTGGACGTAAAACAATAAAGGAACCGACTCGAGTTACACTTCTGCTGTATCTTCTTATTCTTGTGGCAAAATGGTGTCCTGAAAAACACGAATTTTGCACTTTGTTGCGCCCTTTTGGGATCTAAATTTTTGATTAAACAATGTTGAATTTTTAAAGTTGCTGAAAAGGCGTTTGCACTTTTGAAAGCTTGAATGTTTACACTCCTGCATGTATAATCTGAAATGCTTCAATTGTTTTATTCATGTTTATGTTGGTTTAGATTGCAACCGTAAAAGAAATCTTCCGTTTACAAGGCGATGGCGAACTCACTCAAGCCGAAGATAAATATCTTCCTAAAAATTAGATAGCATTCTATTGTACTGAGATTACAGTATTAATATATATATTAAATTAATTCACTAAAATGCCTTTTTAATCCTAGTTTTGCTTCAGCATTCCACTCGTACATGTTATAACGCCCAGCAAAGCCTATTTTTCACTTCAAAGATACCGCTTTATGTGATCTAGGGAATAATATAATAAACCATCTCTTAACAAGAGAATCTGGGTTACATATCACAAATCGTCTACAATACAACTAAACGTGCTATTCTGAATAAATATTAAGTTTTTGAAGTAAAAATAAAGAGTATAAAATTCCAGAGTCGGTCTAAATTTATATTAATTAATTAATTAATTAATATTCTACATGGAGATGAAGTTGAATCATTGAACTGCACATGCGTGTCTGGGTCAGAATTTGGCAGTTTATCTGAAGGTAGCGTTCAAGTTATATTCTTTTCAATGAGTTGACTAAAAACTAATGACTGTGATTAAAGTTGAAGTGATCCATTATCTGAATGATACGTGCGGTCATTTCAACGTTTCTCTGATTTAGCAAGAATGTCACTATTAACAATTGACTTCTCCCAGTTTTTCCCATCAAAATATTTCACATTTGTTTCCAAAACAGGGCCATCTTCATCAATACAATGTGGCATTACTCCGTAGCCATTTGGGTTCGAGCGAGGCTTGTAAAAACTTTGGACACCACAGGTCTTGCAAAAGAGATGTTTGGCTTTGTGTTGATTGAACGTGTAGCATGTCAAGTTGTCCTCGCCCTAGGGAGGAAAGACTTCAATAAAGAACTGTTCATTATATATACTAAGGCAGAGTAGGAAAAATGCTAAGGGGGTCATACATGTTCAGCTTATCTTAGACCTAGGAGAGGGGGTCCCTTCTTTTTTCGGAGTTGTGGGCAGGGGGTTGTAAAAAATACAAAAAGTTCGAAAAATGTCCAAACAACACGAAATTTTCGGTAATCGGTACAGACTAATTTGAACATCAAAAGTTCAATTCCGAGGTCCGTTTTTGGCAAAAGTTTGTAGATTTTGAAGAATACATACATTTACTATTTTTTACCTGAAGGAGTTTGAAGGAATCATCTGGAACCACAAAATGCAAGTTCTGTTTCTTTCTACAAATGCTACAGCTACGAAGATAATTGGTGTTAGACGGAGTAAAGTAATAAAAAAGGGCGCATTGCCACTTAAAGTTTTTCAAAACAATAAGTAAATTATATAGCATTCTAGAATATAAGATGACAAAAATATCCTGCAAGGTGTGAGATTTTCTAGCTGTGGTACAGTATTATACTGTACATACTTGCAGTTATAGACATCTACAACAGGTGTAGTTGAAACTTGAAAACGTATTTTGCCACAATGACATCCACCATGAAACAAAACTAAATCTTCTGTTGAAGACATTCTCTTGAAAACGTTTCTGCTAAATATGAAAAATCAAGAAAATTGAGGCATAGGAACTCCACACAGATGCAATGTTGGCATATTGGGGGTAGCCTGCGAACAGGCTCTCAATTGAGAGCCTGTTCGCAGGCTAATTGGGGGGCAGGGCTATGGATAACATGCCTGTTCTCTATATTTCAGGTGAAGGGGCGTGATGCATAAAAGAGGGCCCCCTATACTTTTTGCGTGAAGCGTGAAGGGCTTGTTTTACTTAGCCGTGAAACGTGATCAGGCCCCCTATACTTTTTGCGTGAAGGGCTTATTTTACTTAGCCGTGAAACGTGATTGATGATTTTCTTAATCCGTGACTCGTGAAAAGGCAAAATATTTTTACGTGAAAGCATATTGTGAAGAGGTATAGGGGGCCCTCATAAAATTTTAAAACATGTTTGAGTGAACTGACTTATTATGGAGAAATGAGCACAGGAGGGTGCTGGCTATGTAATTTAGTTTAGTGTATTATAGTTTAGTAATGGGACTTTCCAGTTATATATAGAGCCCAGTGCCATGTACTAACTGACTTATTAATAATCCATCAGTACTGATAATTGATAAACTTTAGTTGCAAGAGCTACCTCACAGGCATTCGTTGTGGGTAACATCAATAAAATTGAAATCTGGTGTCATGATCTTTTAATAAAACCCTAACAGTCACCCTTATCCCTATTGAAGAATGCCTGTGAGTTGGTTGCAATTTGGCCAAATTTGTGGGTACCAAGCCCCTCTCTGCCCCCCCCCCCCTGGCTCCCTCCGTATGACCTCACCACTGCTAACTACTAAACATGAAAACTTTATCCAACCAAGTGGAATAATTTGTATTAAAAATTTGAAATTAAATTGAAGAAGAAAATACATACCGTACCAAAACAGTCAAAGCCTCTAGGTTGAATGAGGACATGAAGTATCTCAGTATTCCGCTGACTGTATATACATCACAGGCGGCGAAGAACAAGCTGATGTGTCAATATCTATGGTCAATATGGCGGAAAAATGACATTGTTTTATAGAAAATTGAAAATTTAATCCAAGTATTTGTGTTTTATCCAACATTTTGCAATGGTAAGTGTACATGCTCTCGTTTTGTTCTGTGTTTTTAGTAAAAGGAATCAATCTAATGTGGTAATATTTTATTTCTAGTCAGCATTGTTCAATTTTCAAAGCTTGTTGGCTGTCATATTGTTGTTGATTTGTGCGTGTACATACGTGCGTGGCTTCGCTCCAACACTTCTGGATAAAAACAAAACTGGGTATGTATATAACGGCCCATTGCGATGTGCGAGACATGTCTATATATGAATTATTGTGCTGTGTAACATTTGTGGTAGCCTGAGCACCAGACCCAGGACTTTTAGGGACGCGAAAGCGGCAGGGCCATGCCTGGAAATAAGCGTCATGGTCATTGACAAGCACAATTTTGATTGTGTCTGTCACTTTGTCCAGTTTGCATTATTCAGCATTTCAATGCTAAATTCTTAATTGGTACTGGTCATTTTGACAGGCAGGCCCCCAAAAATTTATTTCCAGGCTTGAGCAGAGCTGTTGCTAGATGGGTGTAGGGGCGTATTCCACCCACCCTCCAATCGACAGGTGGTAGCCAAATTATTGAATCCAACAATTTTAGGCAAAGAAGTATTAATTAGTTCTAATACAGTACACCTCCCAAATAGAATAGGGGTAGTGACGGGGCTGCAACATTCTGAATGGAGTAGAATTCAGAATCTACACAGCCTTTTATTAAAATTAAGTCATTGATTTGATGCACCAGAAGGTAACATGGTATATCGCTCAAAGGGTTTTTATAATAGTTGAAAATATAAGTGCAGAACAATTGTCTCTACATTTTATCATTTTAAATGTTGTTATTTTGTATACATTTAGGCTTCTTGGTATATTTTGGAAAATGGCAAGAATTGGTGAGAATTGGTGATTGTTTTCTCCAGAAATTCGCTTGATTGGGTGCACACACACTTAACATGCGTCTTAAAACATATTTGTACATGCCTGTTGTCAAACACTTTTTTTTGCCAATGAAGTAACTATTTTAAGGACATGTTAAGTTTATGTTTAATGATTGACTGATTTTTAAATAGACAATAATGTTAATGTATTATTTATTAAATGCTGGCATTTCTCAACCCTTAGTACAAGATTACAACAAATGTGTCCTTGATTCTTGATATAGGATTCTTGCTCTTACAATAAATGTGTCATTGATTCTTGCTTGGTGCATGAAAAAATCAGTCCAGTTATTAGTAGCTGACATTGGTTATTTAAACCACCAAACCAGTTATTTGCAGGAAAGTTAGCCATAATTGTTTTCTCAATCAAAATTGAGGGGGGAAATATGTGAATGGTTGTCAGTTCAGGCAATTACTGAAAGATTTGGCAGAAAAAGTTGCCAATCTCAAAGTAACATCGACTACATCACAGACCTGTAGAGGCACACATTTAAATATTGAAGTTTAATTTATGCAAAAGCACAAACATGTGAGAAATTTTATTCAAATAATGCAAACAATTTCGACAATTTTGCCACATGTCAGAAACCTCTTCTTTATTTAATGCAATTTATTTTTTTTACTCTAGGAGAAAGAAAGAGTCCATATGTTGCCGCTTGCTGTGTAGCTATGGCATTTAGTATCCTGTTCTGGCAATAATTATTAAATTTCATAAAAGAGAATTTAATAGATAATAGATTTAATAATATACGCTGTGTTTTGTGGATATTTGTTCGAGCAATATAGCAATGTTGTGCCACAGAAGAGAGACTATTCAGAAGCCGTAAAAAACCGTGATTCGTCATCCTAGCCAGTGCGCTTTAATACAAGAGGCATTCCTGATATATTCAAAATGGCAGACGTCCAGGATGGGAATGTCTTCAACAAACTTCTATATGCTAGTACTACCTCAATGAGGAAAGACTGGTATTGCCATGATACAGAAGTTCTTTAGCGTAGTTATATTCCAAGTTTTTTTGGTTTTTAAGAAGTCTATTAAACAAGGGACATTATTTTTTGAGATTGTACCAAAAAAATACTAAATTACTTGATTTTTTTGAAATTTTACCAAAACTTTTACCAAAATTTTATTTTACCAAAACTTTCCCAAAAATTACCAAAAGTAAATTAATTTACCAAATCTGGTCACACTGATGATTCGTCTCAGCAAGTACCGTAAACAGATGCACTGATGCAGTCCCCCCTGGAAATACTAAAAATGGCGCACGTCCAGGGGGGTGACTGCTTCTGTTTACGGTACTTGCTGAGTGAGGAATCATGACGTATAGCGCTTACGCAAAAAGCAATGGAGATGGACTTCTGTGTAGTATTCTGTTGTAATGTTTGATAACCTCGTAAACACATACGTAGATATAGTCTGCGCCATATGGGCTGTACGCTCTGGGCTGTACGCAAGCTAATCATTTCCACGGTCTGTTCAGTCACGCAAATTGACCAGGAAATATTAAACGTCATTGCAGGAATGTCGTTAAAAAATGAATTAAATCAAAACGTGCGCGTTCCGTAGGCAGAATTCAACGACAACAAAATTCAACGTAATATTTCGACATATCGTTTCAAAGTCATTGTAAAGCTTGACTATTTACAAACTAAATGATAGTAAAGAAAAAGGAAGAGCTGATGGAGCAGCACGAATTTCCAATCATTAAGCCTGTTTCCCATTATTGGTCGTAAAAATAGAATCACGTTCTTTCTCAACGGCCAGTTTATAATAGTTTATACCTGTAAACCACATATAAATCATGAGTATTCTCTAGTTATAATCACTCCGCGTATTTTCAGTTCTAAAATGTTGTGTTTCGGCTGATGAGAAAAATCGTGACTCAACGAAAACCAGGCCGTAACAAACAATCCAGATTATTCATGTGAGCTCCAAAGTACGTCATGGCTTTCGTGAGCCATCACCCAAATGACATCAAATTCTTAACAATGAATGCTAAATTCGGAACAAAGTCCTCTTTAATCCTTAATTCTTAAATAACATTCTTGTGAGTTGTGGTTCCAACTCACAGCAATATATCTCAAGTGCAAGGATCTGCTATTTTTATTTAATCAGAAACTTGAAGCCAAAAATATCAAATTTCCTTCTTGACATTGAGTATATGAAGTGCAACATTTTAAAAATATCAGTGACATTGGGCGATCGATTGTGCCACAGCCAACGAATCCGTAAATTTGACCGAACTGATTGAAACGTTTTAAAGTTTAAGTCAAGTTCCACTGAGTCTGAGCTGCCTGCTGGTTCTGCCGGCTGAAACAACTCCATAAATTGACGGAAAGATTCAAGCAAAAGCGATTTCACATTCCCGCTATAGCTATGCCTAGAGTAGACCATATATGAAAGACATAGAAAGAGCAAAATTTCATAAGCTTATCAACATTAAACATAAAATTCCAACAGTGTACAAAAGGTACTGTATATATAAAGCAATATACTGTAAATAAGTCGTGGCAAATTAAATTCATTTCCTAAAGAGTCTAGTGCTATTACTGATATTATTCGATGACGTTATAATCCGTATTAAGACTGCCATAAAATCACCAATGGTCACCAATATAATGAGATAATCATTTCTTGTAGAGGGAAGCGGGACGTGCTGCAGGCAGTGACGCATTGACGATTCCGCATTATAGGCATATAGCGTCACTAAGCATCCGGTGCTTTAATAAACATTCGTATATTAGTCGACCCTGCCCAGAATTTTAATTAATGACAGCGTTATAAAAGAGACAACGTGTGGCTAACATTTCAAAACACATCAAGCTTCAAGGAAGTTGAATACACAGATTGACTATATAGAAATGTAAGTATATAATGATTAGACCCTAGTTTAAATATTATCAGTATAAAACACTATTGAAATTAACATAATTGAGTCCGTTTGATCATATAGCCTGCTATAGTCATAGTGTAATTTATTAAGAAACGACTATTATCTTTCTTCAATTGTAGCTTATATCTCAACAATGCCAGTGGAACAATTTCAGGTATTTATGCACGCGTATTTATGATCATAAATGTATATACCATGTAATACCGAAAATAACGCTGCCAATACCGAAAGTGTATAATTGACACGAGGCCCTATAGTATAGGGCTAGGCCAGGGACGCTGGAACGATGTGAAGGCAAGGGGGGGGGGGCAGATTTTCGTGAAAGGGCACTTTTGAATTAATATATACTATAAGAGATGTTTGCAAAACATCGGGAGTTGAACTTCGCCTAATCATGTTTTCTATATATTGGATGATAGGGGTGTGAGGGGGTTCTCAGGCGATTGTGCTATTCTTGAAGCTCGATGACTGCATTTCTTGCGTTTTCTGAAGCAAATACGTAAAAGAATTGCACTAACATTTCTGACAATTCGCTATTTCGCCAACGCTATAAATTGAAAGGACACCTTTGCCCTCCTTGCCCCTCCTGGTAAAGGGCAACGGGGGCGGCTGCCCCCCCCCCCCAGTTCCGGCCGTCTCTGGGCTAGGCCTAACCGAATTTTTTCACATATTAAGCGGAAGCGGACACTTAACTCGAGGTTCCAAAGAGCCTAATAACCTCTCTTATAGCGGACAAATGTAACGGATGAATGCAAATATGTTTCCGATTAAATTTTCATCACAATCAACAGTAAAATTCAATTTTAAGGAAATTTAATAATTCACTATACGTTTATTTATTAGTTATGTTTTGCAGTAGTTCTATATGTAGTATAAACTCTGCATGATATCTTAATTGAACTGATCTTCTCATAAACTATAAAAGCTTTCTTTAATTTGTCTTTCAACCTATTGCAAGAAAAATAGTAACCTGAAATTCAGGCCCTAAATTTGAGGTGTTTCATACGCCGGTAATAAACAGCTATCGGGTTTCTTCTATTACTCTTCTCAAAAAGACTTGTGTTTAAGAGAAGTTCAAGGCGATAGATTTGATCTATTTTACAAGGAATTTTGTTGTTCTTGTCAGGTAAAACAGGAAAAAGTAAAAGTGTTGACAGTAAAGATCATCAGAGCAACAGGAGTCACCGTTGGGTTTTTTAGTGACTGTAAGTTTCTATTAATTATTTAATTGTTTTTGTTTGTGGAAACACCACGTAAATTTATTACTGCAAAGCTTTCGATCCGTAAGCCCGGATCTTCATCAGTGCTAATAATATGTGACTTGTTTATTATTTCGAAAGCTTTGCAGTAATAAATTTACGTGGTGTTTCCACAAACAAAAACAATTATATTTTATCGCCATGCAAACATTCAAAGAACTTAAGTTTCTATTAACTTGTAATAAGGATGTTCTGCAATACCTAACTACAATTCCTGCCATGGGGCCTATATATACGGTTGCATTTTGAGTCTGCTGCTCGTAGTTAGATCGAAAATATAGAACACTCAAAATTTCCATCCAATTAGCCATTCCGAAGTTGATGAGTGGACTGGGGACGAGTGTTAAAAAGTGCCCAAGTTAAAAAAAATGGACCAAATCACTAAAAAGACCACCTCAAAATTAGTAAGTATACAAAGTTTGAAAACGTTTACATGAATACCCTTCGAATAATAAGCTTTCGACTAATACTGTGTGAAATTACTGATTAATTAAAAGACTATTATTCGAAGAGTATTCATGTAAACGTCTTCAAACTTTGTATACTTACTAATTTTGAAGTGGTCTTTTTAGTGATTTGGTTCATTTCGTAACCTCTCATCAACTTCGGAATGGCTAATAGTCCTTCAGCTTTATTTCTATCGAGTGAGATACCCCAAATCCTGATATTCAGCCTATGATAGCCATTTTAGTTGTGTACTCATGCACCGTATTGTTTTCCTTCTGTAGTAGTGGACATACCAGATCCGTATGTTATACTGAGGGTTCGAAGCAGTCCAAACTCGAAACAGAGAACAACTACCAAGAACGACAACGTTAATCCTGAGTGGAACGAAGATTTCAAGTTTTATTTGAATCCTAAGAAGAAAAACATACTTGGTATGTTTAAAATTATGGTTTTATTTTGACAATCAAATAATAAGTACAATTCCATAGTCATGCATGCAGTGTCGTAGAAATTACAAAAAAAAAAGATTATCAGTAAAAATTACTTCTCCGAAAAGGTAATTATCACAAATTACAAATTAACCAACTACAAATTACTAATTACTTATCAAAAAGTAATTGATTTAAATTACTTACCAGATTATTTTTTTCTTTATAATATTAAGATTGAACCGTTTGAAACAAATATTATATAACACAATTCAAAACGGCACAATTCTCGGTGATAATTGATCAGTGGCATATTTTCCTTTCAGAGTTAACAATAATGGATGAAGATTTGATAAACAAATTTGACGACACTGTTGGAAAGAAAGAGTTGGAATTAGATCATATTTTTGCAAACACAAAACTAACCACGAAAATTGGCTTTGGTCAGGTAGGTGTGGCTGGATTTGAAGTTTTTAATGTCACAATTAGTACAGTCGATTAGTCGAACTTCAATTTAAAATAATGGACAGCCCGATCTTAAGCGGACACGTAAACCTTTGGTCCTAATGATTTCTTTTTTTCTAAAACATTATTGTCAGTTACCCCTATATTCAGAGGACACCCCTCCTTTAAGCGGAAACGGACACTTAACTCGAGGTTCCAAAGAGTAGAATAACCTCTCTTATAGCGGACAAAAATGTAACGCAAGAATGCAACTATGTTTCCGCTTAAATTTTCATCACAATCAACAGTAAAATTCAATTTTAAAGAAATTCAGGAATTCACTATACATCTATTCATTATTAATGTTTTGCAATAGTTCTACGTATAGTATATAAACGCTGATATCTTGAACTAATCTTCTCCTAAACTAAAGTTTTCGTTGGCTTTAATTTGTCTTTCAACCAATCAGTTCAAGAAAAACTGTCTTCTCTAAACTTGGACTCGCAGGGTCGTCGAACCATAACTAGCCCCTGTGTTGACACGTTTATCTTTAATCACTACTCTTCCTTTTTCTCATATCGAATACTTTTTTATTTGATATGAAAACGAATCTGGGGACAACACTTTGTTCAAATCGGTGAGCTTTATAATTATGCATATTTTAATCTTTTGTAGAAAACGAGTCTAGAAATTTCCCTTCTTGTTACATACGAGTAAGTTTATTAAAATTACCTATCTTCATATACTACTATTTGGTATTTGTTATATCAGACAGACCTATAACGTTTTTGTTGGAACTGTATTAAATTGTGAACGGAATTTTATAGGACAGACTACAAACGTTATGATATTAATACAGTATTCTTATAAGATGCAGTAAATTGTATGCTAACTGTTCATTGCATAAATGATGCCGTCACCTATTGCATATGTCATACATGTATGCATGCATACTTCTAAAAATGTAATTGTTTTAAATCATTTTATTTATAGTGAAACAAAAGAATTAAGGTTAAATTATGATCTATGCGACGAAGAAAAAGATTTTTTGGAGAAACGAAAAGAAGAAATATTCAAAAGAATTCCAAAGCTTAGCAATCTGAAGCAAGTACCCAGCTCTGTGGACGAGGTGAAGTCTAGTTCTTATCTGCATGTAAAAACATTTTCACTCTTAACTCTGTCACAAAGAATATTTTATAGTTATGAAACCGAAAAAAAATTGTGCTCAAATGTTTTGACTTACCACTAGGTGTATAATATCAATTATAAGATCAATGCATAGAATTCTATATGAATTATGTTACTTGGCATTTGAGTTATCCCCAGTCTACCAGATTTCAGTATTCTCCAAGTATTTGAATAATCTACATATATTTAATATGGAGTTCTCGCTTTTTGGTCTTTGTAAATGTACTTATCTTATACTGTAAATTATTCTTTTCATATTTTAGGTACCAACTATTGCTATCATGGGATCAGGAGGAGGTTATAGAGCTGCTTGTGGATTATCAGGAGTATTTGTTGCTCTTCAAGAAGAAGGGATATTAGATTGTGCTTCTTTTGTAACTGGACTGTCCGGATCTTCGTGGTACGTATGAGAAAGAATTAGATTATTATAACCACTTATATTTACAGTATATTTACCGAATCGAGTACCGAAGGCACGATTGTACTCCAATCCTAAGAATACACCCTTTCGATAATTACGTCACAACTACACTGTTTTCAACTTAGGACCACCTTAAATGGAAAGGATTTCAAGTTTTTTTTCTCATAGGCTATGCACAGAGAAGCAGAACATCCTTCTTCAACACATGCGCGAAAAAAAATTTTGGATTTTGATCAATAAATATGGAAATAATTATTCTTTTAAATCATATTATTTCCTCATAAATTTTCAATGAGTATATATATAAAATACCTTTTGATCACAAGAAATTGTTGCTTAATTGTTAGACAAGTTTCAGAGACTGAAAGTTTTTTGGTCTTATATAATCACCTTGATATGAATTCGAAAATGTACAGAATTGAATTGTATGAATTAATGGACCTATTCCCAAATGAACAAAATTTTGATCTAGACAAGTCTAGATAAAAATTTCATCACAGCTTGAAAGAGCATCACAAAATTAGTAATATTCCGAAGTTTCGTTGCGAAATGTTGTAAAATGCAGATACCTTTTTTTTTATACCTCTTTTCAGAAAGTGGTATCAATTTCCCGTGCGTAATACAAAATGACTGAAAAACGGCAAATTTCGCAGGGCTATATTGCCCGCATTTTACAACATTTCGCAACGAAACTTCGGAATATTACTAATTTTGTGATGCTCTTTCAAGCTGTGATGAAATTTTTGTCTAGACTTGTCTAGATCAAAATTTTGTTCATTAGGGATATTAATTCTCTTGATGTTTTAGGTATATATCATCCCTCTACATGAGAGAAGGTTGGCCGTACCAAATGACGTGTCAGGAAATGGCTGAAGACCTGAGGAAAAGATTCAATACCAAACTCCATAGTCATTTTGATGTGCTCAATATTAAAAGACGTCTGGAGGGAAAAGCAAGGAGCGGTCAACTTGTACGCTTCACTGATGTCTTTGGTATGGCAATTGGAGATGCATTATTGCCGGTAGGTATAGAGTAAAATTTTATACGAGCTATGCCCGTGGATGCTGATCTTGGGCATCACTAAAAAAGTCATAAGAAAATACAGAGCACTCATGCCAAGTGACCTTACATGGCAGGACTCTTTTTATTCATTTCATACTTCATTTTATTAGATTTTATTACCATGCAAACGGAAACCTCAAAGGGACTTATGAGATGATTGACTGTTAAAATTATCTTCTAATTTGGTATTTTTTTCTAGAATCAAGAGTCTAAATTGAGTCACCAGGGACAAAAAGTAAAGCATGGTGAAGCACCACTGCCAATTACTACAGGAATTAGAGTTCGAAAGGATTTAGCAGCATCTCAATTTAGTGGTAGGTTTAAGCAGTGTTTATAAGCTTACTTTCTTTTAAAGAAAACGATTCCTTTAATATATTTTGCGAAAGCAAAGCAAAACAAATTGACAATTCTGTGTTCACGAGGTGTTAATTAGGTTTTTTTCGTCCTCTGTTAGAATGGGTTGAATTTAGTCCATTTGAATACGGCATTGCCAAATATGGTGTCTTTGGAAAGACTAAAGAATTTGGCGGGAAATACTACAAGGGCCAATTGGTAAAGAAGTTTGAAGAATCGCCATTACATTATTTACAAGGTATGCTAATATTAAATACTATTTAAAACATGAGCAGAAGCGGAATAGAAATTCAATAAGCTTTTCTTTAATCTCTACGCTTTCAGGATTTTATTATCGTAATTTCATGAAACTAGTTGCCATCTATGTATTTTATGACAGTGTGTGATATCTTTACCATCTAGGCATATGGGGAAGTGCCTTCAGCGTCATATTAAACACATTGAAAGATGGTGACAAGAAATCGGAAGAAGAAGTAAAACAAGAACTTGGTAAGCTATACAGTATAATTATAATATAATATAATACATAATATAACACGGGATCGCAAAGGCTGGATCTCATCAAAACCAGACCTACTCGGGCACTCCACCCTCATATAAACAGTCCTTACAATAATATGATATTATTTTTAGAAAAAGTTGTTCTTGAAGAAGGAGATAGTTTAAAAGGTGAAGATGATGATAGTGATGATGAAGAATTCTCACCTGAAGATGAAATTCAAGGTATTTTTGTTGCTGATTTGTATGAAATTTTATAATTTTGTATAGTAGTAACATTTTCTTTTTATATGCAGATTCAAACTGGATAACTCAAATGCTGAATCCATTCAATGTATTTTCATCTCGCCGAGGGAAAGCTGCAGAAACGTTCAATGTCTTCCGAGGACTAAAGTTTAAGAGCGAAAAAGGTAAAATTCTTAGTGCATAATGGATATCATACAAGAACGGGCATTGAACTTTACAGTGCGAAAACAATAGCTGGGCTTCAGTGGGTTCTTGCCTCAGTCTTGGTCCTCGTTTCTTGAATTATTTTGTACTTTCTAAGAACTCTTTCCTATTCATATTTTTTTACCAAATAATATGTATACATATTAAGAAATTATATGTCCTGCTGTACTATTTCAATCCTACAATGCATGTTTAAATTAAGTCTGAAAACGAAGAACAATACAATAAAATATTGGTAATCGTTCCATGTTTCGCGCACCAATATAGTAAACGTTATGTAATGGATATTATAGTGTACTGAAAAGTTAACTAGGTACCTCCATACACATATATACACACCCTAACCCTATCCCTAACCTTAAACCTAACCCTAACCCCTAACCCTAACCTAACCCCTAACCCTAATACCTAACCCCTAACCCTAACTTATATTGGTGCGCAAAACATGGAACGATAACCAAAATATACGCCTTCCGTACCCTCTGTACTGTCTGCCATCTTGGATTTTCATAAAGGCGGGAAATCTGGCCAAAATGGACCTGCTTCAGATCTGGTCCAAATATTCCGGTCAGAGCCAGAGGATCCCAGAGGGTCAGAGCGGTACCGACATCGAGAAGTTAAGAGTCATAAGAGCAGACAGTTTATAACATATAAAGCAATCCTGTAAATAAACAAAGCTAGTTTGTAGTTTCAAGTTCAGACTATGAAATTTTCTGGTATTTAAATACAAGCTTTCTTTGCTGTAGACGCAGATTTCAACGACGCAACGGGAAAAGATAAGACGATGTGCATTGTGGACAGCGGTGTCGCTTTCAATTCACCATTTCCAGCCATGTTACGACCGGAAAGAAAAGTCGAACTTATCTTGTCATTTGATTTCAGTGAACGTGATGGAGGCGACACAGAGTTGCCCTTTGAAGTAAGAAAATCAATTACATATTACATATTACATTACATATTACATTACATATTACATTACATATTACATTACATATTACATTACATATTAAATTACATATTAAGTTACATTACAAACTGCATTGTATTTTTACAGTATGTATAGTTAGCTTTTTATTGTATTAATTGTAAAAACGTTCATGACAGGGAAACGGATTTATTCAATAATTGACATGTCGATGAGCTAACTATCTCCGATCAGAACAGACGCATCAATAAATTGATCATTATATAGTCACGACTGGCCGAAACAGAATTGACTCTAATAAACCATATAACTATAGTACCTTTTCTCAATTAGGAACTTTTGAAAGCTGAGAAGTGGGCAAAGGATCATGGTCTTCCATTCCCACAAATCAAAGGGAACCCGGTGACGGAAGATCCCAATATTCGAGAATGTTATGTTTTTGAAAACACAGACGATGTCACGTGTCCGACCATCTTACATTTTCCTCTTGTTAACAAAACATTCAGGAGCTATCTCAAACCAGGTAAGAACATTTATATTGGTACTAGCCGGTTGTTTGCAGCTGGGACATTTTGATTGGATACTAAATATAAACAGTTTATACTTTGGAGTTTGGATAGAGAGCGAAAAACCCGTATGTAAATAAACAAATTTGCTTGAGTCTTAACAAATGCATTTTTTGTCCCATAGGGGTACCCCGTGTGACACAGGAGGACAAAGACTTCGCCAATTTCGACATCTTTGATGATCCTGACCAACCCTATTCATCCTTCACTTTTGAATACGAAAATAGAACATTTGATCGGCTGCACGAACTGATGAAATTTAACACATTACTAAATATGGACTTGATCAAGGAAAATATTGCATACCAAGTTGCATTCAGAAGAAATAACCCTCGGTTTGCTCAGCTATAAATTTCTGGTTGAGAAATGCAGAAATGGACTCTATATTTGAAATGAAGACTGCATAAATTGCGCTTCTCTGATGGTGTCAGCATTGTCAATCAAAAAAGTCGGCCAAAATCTTCGTTATCTCTTTTCACTGATAAGTGCTTTCAAAGTCTCGATCAGAAATTGCGGCCACAAACTCAGGATGAGCTTAGGTATCAGGCATGCGTAGATTGTACCGATATCGATTACATATGCTGATACAGTTTCATGAATTGAGAAATTCGTATAGAACGCGTCCACAGGACAAATCTATTTTGGAGAACACCCGACAACCGTTCGTTTCAATTTAAAACAGATTTAGCACTAGACACTAGTGCATTAGTACAGTTATTTATATAGTATACATATCGTTCGTGAGTGTCTGTTATAAATATAAGTACGTTGAAAGAGTATAAAAACAAGAAAGAAATGTCGATTATTGAGAAGATTAGTAAAGTTATTTATATAGATTTTTTTATATTTTACCAGATTGTAAATATGTATAATTAATATGAGATCAAGCTCTGAAGCTCGTACTCAGAGCATTTTGTTTGGAAAGCAAAATATCCTGGCCACGAGGTTGATATGAGATATTTTTAAAATAAATGTTTTTTTGTACACAATAAATATTGTACATTGTTTGTCATATAAAAAGTGTCCTACAGACCTTATTCATAATTCGCATTTGACTTCACAATAGTTCGTGCAAGTAAAAAAGTAGGATCATTCCAATTTTTTTCGCTGACCAATCACGTTGCCGAATTCGCTTCGCGCGAACAAATTCGCTTAGTGGAAAACGGGCTTAAGTCAAGTGGAAGCACTGCTGATTTGTCTTTCTTTTTCACTGTTTTTCCAGCTGTTTTGGAGCTTCAAAGTTGTTTTTGAACTGAAGAAAGTTGACGAGCTATCAAAATAAACTTTTCAAAGGTACGTTTGCTAGCTTTTTTCAGCGAAAGAAAGCTCTTTTTGCATATTTTTGTTTCGTAAAGCAATGTTTTGTGTTTTACAATTAACAACTAGCGACAGTCAAAATTGACAGTACAGTTCGGTTGGCTTAATGGCTTTGTTCACGAATTGTTTAGAAAGACAGTATTACTATTCATTCATACAACTGCTGAGAAACTAGTGCGATCATTGGCCATGATAAAATTGCTTTAATTAAAATGCAATACTTCACTAGTATTCTCGCTTGATTAATCTGCAGTAAAACCATAGGCCCACTAAAAGACTGAGTTTAAATTAAACTGCAGTGAAAATATTAAAATTGACGAAAATAATCACAAATTAGCGAAATATATTGCTAAGTGTAGCTATATTAAATCGCCACCGACTGCACTATCCGAGTATCAGCCAACAGACGTATATAGTATACCTAGACTACCTAAGGTTTTAGTGCAGTCAGTACCGATTTAATATAAGCTGCTTCGCAATATATTTCGTTAATTTGTGATTATTTTCGTCAATTTTAATATTTTCACTGCAGTTTTAATTGAAATTCAGTCGTTTAGTGGGCTGCCTATGGTAAAACCTCTATAATTTACTTCAAAGGTATCCATTTGGCACGGGAGGGGCTACTTCTATATCTGCTTTTTGCAACATGCCGAAAAATCAGAAATTTGTAATCTCCCTAGCCTGCGAACAGGCTCTCAAGCTGAATTGAGAGCCTGCATCGATGACTAATGAATTTGAATATCTGCCCCGTAACGTTCGTTTTTCCAAATATGGAATGTCTATCCTTATATGGTGTTGTTTACAACTTTCGTGCAAACTAAATTTAGACCGTGCAAACTAAATTTAGACCGTGCAGTTTATACTGTTTTTCGAAATATAAGATATTCAAGCAAAAGTTCAAATGTTTTAAATACTGTTTTCTCAGAACAGAACATTTCGTGCTTTGAGATAAGACGGCCAAGACCAATTTGATCAGTTAATCAGTGTTTTTTATGCATAGTGCTTCAGCAGTTGACATACATAGAGCTCAGCGGAAACATATAAATTATAGCATCTGACCAATGAGAATTTCGCGTCATGATTTGAGACGCAGATATTCAAATTCATTAGTCATCGATGCAGGCTCTCAATTCAGCTTGAGAGCCTGTTCGCAGGCTATAATCTCCCAGGTCAGGCTGCCTGTACATTTAACTATATATTCAATATTCATTTGACATACAAATGAATGTTTATGTCTACAATCGGAATAAGTATAAGGAATAGATTATCAATTCATACGATGTTTATTTATTTTCACTTTAAAAGTATACAGCATTACAGGTAGTTTACACAGTGGGGCAAGATTAATTTGCATGAGAAGAAAAATTATTCTGGAATGAAAACCCTGCAAAAGATGTTTAAACTTTTGAAACTTATAAAAAAATTTTTAGTCACAGCTAGGACAGAGAACTCACAAGTACAAGTGTTGTAGCAAGATGGACCCGTCTGTCTCATTTATATTTAAATTCTATGTGCAGAGTTTTTGTCTAACAACGAAATTTAGACACATAAATATTTTAAATAGTTTTATAGAATTTTTCTCCTTCTGTGTCCAATTTAATGCTCGCCCACAGCCAGGCATAATAATATAAGGTTTTGTCTATAAATGTTCTGTACTTTTGTGCAATTTTAGTAGAGGGCAAATCACAATTTGGATGAATTATGAGAAAACATGCATTTAACCGAGCATAATAGCAAACAAATGAGGTATCAAATATGCAAACATGCTTAGAGCTGACATCCGCTTATTTTGAACACAAGGTCATTTGAAAAATATATTACAGAAGAAATGTAAGTTTGTAATCTCGGTAGTACAGTATAAACATCACCAGAAGGCTTTGGTTTTATCCCAACTTCGCTTTATAGTGCTGAGGGTTTGTTACAATGAAGATCTAAGCCAACGGACCAAAACAGGTTTGTAAAATATGCCTTATGCAATGATTATAGTTGGAAGATTTAATATTAAGAAGAGTTATTGAAATGGCAATGATCATTTGTATCGAGCCACAACAACAGGGTTTTATAAGTCTGATCTGTTTATCAACAGAGTAAGAGTACTTTCCATCTGTTCTTATCATAACGTAAAGACTAGTCTAGATTGCTCAGGATAGGCAATATATATACGAAGGATTATTATTCAAATATTTGAATGCAGTCAGACTGCGGTTCATGCCACATGCCCTGCAGTTGTAAAAGCATGCAAATATTTACCGCGTTGCGCTTTGCTTTGTTCAAATATGAAAGGTAAAATACAACAGTTGAATTAAAAGTTTAAAACTGGTTTAACTAAAGAGTTATTTAATAAATACAGTGTAGTCTAAAATATTGTGTAAATTTATACTGCCCATTTGGTTTTCATATTTTAATTATGATCACCTCAGTCTCAGACAATAATTCAGATGATTTGCCACGTATTAGCATATATGTGATTATGTTTCACATGTTTTTAATATAGCAACATGATCCCGCATATATTATACAATTTCATAACTCGTTTTCAAGAGGTGTCAGAATTCAGATTAACTTGCACCAAGTATGTGATTTTATTCATTGGCATGCTCCCGGCCAGTAACCTTTCTATGGTCTCTAGGGCTAGACTCTAGGATTCTATTTCCTGCACTACAATGTGCAAAAGAGGAACTTGAACTACTGATTGAAATCATAGTCACTGTTGAAATTTACATTTTAATATTTAGTAATTTTGCAAATACGCTGTGACAATTGTAATCTACAACTAGAAGCAGGTGTTATAACTGTTATACACGCGCTCAGATAGGTACTGAGATAGACTTTATTAAAAACACTTTGTCTTTGCAGTTTACGGAACTGAATTGCGTGTTGCTAAAATTACAAAAATTGGCGATATACTATATATACATATACATAGAAATAATTGTCAAAAATTTAGCTAAAAATTTTGAACACAAGCTTGGATAAACGTATTTAAGAATCTGTTCGTCTTAATCTTTTGGAAGCTGGTAAACGCGGCGATTCCTGAGATTATATTCCGTGGAACATCGCTCTGGCAGACAAGGTGAAAGTTTGTGCTGAGGATCATTGGTGGCTTGGTAGAACTCAACTTTCGTGACAAGCGTCTTGGCCAGTGTATGTTCATATATTCGTGTTCACATACCATAAAAACAACCGCTTTCAAAAGAAATCAGTAGGGCAGAACACGAATATATGAATATGCAATTATCGCGTCTAGTTACGATCCTGGTCTTGGCGACGAGCCCTAAAGGCTTGTTTCCACTCAGGAAAATTATCCGTGGATTGTAACGACAAGAAAATTTTTCTTTGTGTTAAAGTCATTAGTTTCAACCCAGAGCTCACAAGACAAAGAAAAATCTTCTTGTTAGTTTCCTGCCGGGGAAACTACTATTTTAAGGAGGCAATTTAATTCCAAGTGTTTTATTAACGATGCAACAAAAGTTTAAAAAATTATTCAGGGCATAGTCTGAATACTTTGATATGGGTTTGGGGGTCTTAATTCTTAAAAATAGGTACGCACTGCGCACATGTGGCAAGCAAAGGAATGTGACACAAAATATCTACAATCTTAGAAATAGCGAAAATGATTTAACTCTCCCAAAACCTAGAACAGAATATCTAAGAAGAAGCTGTAAGTACAGCAGCCTAATGTTGTGGAATGACCTTTCGTCTGCAGCTAAATCGGCGGATACTCTCGATTGCTTTAAAAGAGAGATAGGCGCAAGCTAGAGGAAGATTCTGTGCTATACGTACTAAACTGACTCTTGTGTATAGCATTTTTAAATTGTAACTTCTTAATTAACTTAATTATTTTCTTTGTATTGTTATGTGACGCCCCTCGTGGAAATCAGCACTATGTTGACGAGGCTAACTGATTAGAATTGGCATTATGTACATAAAAATAAAATATAAACTCGATAAATAAATATTGATAATTATAATTATAATTACCAATATCAAATACTATAAAAAATGTTCAAGTATAACACGAGGTTGATTGTTATGATTCAAGATACTCTGTATTCTAAATGAAAAGTATTTGTATCGATTGAGGCCATCTCTGGTACTTCTGTGAGCAACAAGAAATATTATGGAACATGCTGACTAATGACACTATAAAGATTGTTTCCATTAATTAGAATTCTATTCATGATTAATGTATCCCAGATGTTTATAGACTTTATTTCATTTATAAAATCGCATAGATCGACAGTGCAACACATTGATTACCAGGCGCGTTACTTCCAAACATCGAAGCATTATTTTGATTAAAGTTTGCACGAACTGTAAAAGTAGAATCAACTATTTCAATATTAATGGCCTGGATTTTCCTCGACATCATTTAGAGTCTCAATAATAATGGTACATAAACATTATAGCGTACAATCTCAAATTTGTCAGAGGTAGTAGGTAAACTTTGGTTGATTTCAGCCAAATATTATTTTATTCTGTTGTTTTTGTGAAACGTTTTGTCATATTTTTACGCTTGAAAAGGAGCCATTGTTGCTCACACTGATCTTAGATCAGGTTGTATTTGCGTGAAACTGGCCACGTAAGAAAGTTGAACCTTGCCATTGTGCAGGTAAAAATATCAGATCCATTGCCATTGTGCTTGAAGGGGCATGATCAACCACGTTTCTGTTGCGTTGTGGGCCAGAGGTAGCCATTTTCGTGGCCTTGATAATGGCGGCAACTATTTAGGAAAGTAACTGAAAAACGTAAACAAAAGCGCACATTGCCATAATTGCATTGTGGTTGATCATGACCCTTTAAAGGCCTGGTCACACTAGACAAAGATACGATAACTTGTAAACACGCGATGATTGGCAAAAAAACTATGTTGGCACAGAATAACATTTAAATTGTTATTCTGTGACGTTGGTGTCGACACTACAACGAAAATGATCGTTTGACGATAACGATTTTAAAATCGCTCACCCTAGCGATTTCTTTTTCAGTCGGACGATAACGATAAATGTTTGACCAATCAGCACGCGTATTCTAGTTATCGCTGTGTAGTGTGACCGGCCCTAAACAGTCATACCTAGCCATTGTGCAGGTAAGATATTACAAATACAATCAAACAATCTTGCCGCGCGGTATACAAGTATATACTAATACAATACAACAAACTTTTTACACAGATTAGACAGTGAGAAACGGCTAAAGTATGGGTATTTCTATTGAGAATTATTGAATAAGAATTGGTTCACAGATTAAATTTGTGCAAGCCTGGAAGTCTATGTTTCAACTGAAAGGTAAATTTTGGAACCAAATGTTGATAATGTTCAGTAGCGCAGCCAGTCCGACAATTTAGTCCCGCTATGCAAATTCAAAATTATTATCATTCATTTCTTTAGAAAAATTATCAAAATTATTATCATTATTCATTTCTTCATTATTCATTTCATTATTCATTTCGTTTTCACAGTCAATGAACACGAAAATATTTGCATAGCGAAAATAATAAACAAACCGAAAAAAGTAATGAGGTGTGCATGTGATATCAGGTTGTATACATATGCTATAAATATAATGTTTATGTACCATCATTATTGAGACTCTTAAATGATGTCGAGGAAAATCCAGGCCATTAATATTAATGAAATGGTAAAAGACTTTAATCAAGGTAATGCATCGATGTTTGGAAATACGCTGGTAAACAATATGTTGCACTGATGATAGCTGTTTACTAAAATCTTCATATTTTACGTTTTTAGACATACCAAGGGAGCCATTTAACAAGTATCATAATCAATCTAGAAGGACTCATATATTTTAACAATCTTATGTTAGAAGCTATAAATATACTTTAAAATACTGGTGTTGTATTAATCCTGTGCAACTGGAGTTCTTCTTTTGTAACAACCATGGCGAGGCGTGCTTACACGACATTCCTCTGTCTATCATTTTTTCTCTGCGTTATTGTTGCCTTGCAACTTGTTAACCATTTTGTCATGGTAAGAAACGCCGATACAGAATGTAACTGCGACACAAAATTCAGCGAAGAAAAACGCCGTGATGCTGAACGTAAATCCACACTAACAGTCAAGAAATCGAAAAAACTTGACGAATATGTCAGCGGGATGTTGGAATTACTTGGCGACATGAACGAAATGGAACAAGCTGAACTTGGGACAAACTTTAGGCGATTATATGAAGTCTTACAAGACATAAAAGAGACAAAAAATGGCATAAGAAACACAAGAAAATTAAAGGAACAATTTATACCAAGTCCAAAGTCAAAAGGAAGTAGTACCCAAGAAGTATGTCCGGAAAAATTTTTGGGGACGACCCTAACTTACGGTTATCCTTTCTTTCGAAAAGGGTTTGCAACTTTAAATTGTTCGCAGTTTGTTCCGATGAAAGAGCTCGTAACGGTCGTTTTTGATGATGTTTATACATCCACGATTACTCCTCCAGCCTATCAGCGAGTTCTGAAAGGTATCAAGAAATATTACCCAAAAATGAATGTAGTATATATCACTAAGAAGAAACCAGATGATGTGGAGAAGATAAAATCAAATGTGAAAATAGTAGAGGTTAAGGATGACACTAAGCAAGGTGAGATGTGGGACACAGCGTTGCACGAGGTGAACACAAAGTATGTTATGGTCGCACAACACCTGACCGAATTTGATGACGACATCAACTTAAAGAGGCTCGTGCGGATTTTAAGTGAACAACCGGATGTAACATTTGCTTCGGCGGCATATCGCACCCGCAATGGACATTGGGATATGGGTTGTTTACAGTCCATGTTTCAGAACTGGACGCTGACGTTACAAGGTGGTTACTACATGTCTTTCTGGGACTGTGTTGTGTGTGAATTTACACCAGGACCATGGCTCGCTCGCACAAAGGAAGTTATGGAATTGCAGTTTGATAGAACGTAAGTGATATAAGGATAATTTACAATTGCGGCGTAATAATTTCTGCTTCTAATCTCTACCATCCGAATTAAAAGATATTGAAAATCATTCTCATTAGTTTTGAGCGCGTGTTACCGGTACATACAAAAAATTTCCTCTTAAATTGTGTGATAGTTCTGTCAGTGTTGCTGAGTTATCCTCACAAACACACACAAGCCATACATATGGGTATACAGAAAAGTGGAGGTAAAAGCATAGCTTCTGGGCGAGGTATTGAAAACAATGAATTACTGAATTCTATAATTATTGATCTCATATTCTCTCTTTCGTCAACCTGTAGCCTTGACTTTGGTGTTTTCTACGACCTCTTTTGGAAGATCAAGAAACAAAAGAAAATAGCCGTGAGTTGCCCTGACATAATGTTTAACATCGACAGAACCAAAGTTGGAGATGAAAAGTTCGTGGCATTCGCAAGCAAACACGATATCAAAAAGATAGTAGAACCAAATAATCAAGTCAGATGGTATGTTGAATTTAATTACCCTTTCTCACGCTCGGCTTATCTGCCATTTTGGGGGTACTGCTTGTCCCAAGTCCTCAAGTGCGCGTACCACAAAAAAGTGTCAATTTCTCCTGAATTAAAATTTTCCAGCTACCTTGAGCAAGATTTCCATCTGGCTTACTAATGACATGCATGCTTTGCATATAAGAGTTCTTGTACAGTTTTCCACAGTTTTTCTTTTTTCCAAGGTTTTTCTCACAATAAGTTATCATATCATCGTTTCATACTTTTGTACAATGAGCTCGATCACTGTGACCGTACACAAATTAATATACATAATACAATGATTTCTTATGATGTTTGTGATGTTACTCTGAGTGTATATCCACACCGGGCAAGCTTGAAAAATATGCCTGATCACTGTGGGAATCGAACCTACGACCTTTGGAATACTAGCCCAATGCTCTGCCAACTGAGCTACGCGGTCTGGTCGGTTCGAGTATGTGATATTTCGGAACAGAATCTAGTTCCTTCAATATCAATGTATCTAGTAATCATGATGATTTCTGTTTAGTTTTCAGGTCATCTTATCTTGATATAGACTCTATGTTGTCCATAAATCAATGAGCATATAGTTTACATTCCCAATAGGTATGGGTGCCGACATGGCGTCAAGCATAAAAGAGGTAGTTCGTGTCGTAAACATAAAGGGCTCGGAGTACCACCTTGCGATCTTGAGAATTTAGCAGACGCAGTCAAACTTATTATGAGAGAATGTGAAAATGCTGGATTGTATTGTGAATTACAAATGGGAACATTGCTCGGTGAGTTTACTCTTTACTCATCTTTACTTTTATACTTTACAATCTAACAAATCGAGTGCACTCGAGCTTAACCAAAACCTTAGGGGCTGTTTATATGATCCATGTTTGCCGGAACGAGCATGTAGGTGTACTGGAGGAATAACTGGGGGGTGGGGGGAAGAGGACAAAAATTAGCCCAATGGTGATTTAATTGATCGACCAATACGTAACTTTTTGGTCCTTATATACTTCCCAGAATTTGTAATGACAGAAGGAGGGGGAGGGGGGGGGGGGTTCCTTTAATAATTTGGCCGATTTTTAAGTACAAACTGCCCGACCAAAAAATTAATGGGGGGTTGTTTTACTAGCTTCATTGTCAATGGTCATTGGTGCGTGTATAGAATTATTTGCCTATCGGGAAGGGTTTTCTTCTTGATTGATCATCGTCAACGGACCATGAGAACGTCATCGAGTAATTGCGATTTATGAAAGTTTAGAACTGTTTGTCAGAGTTTTTCAAAGCTTATATTAAGTTATTGTAGATGTGATAATTAAAAACGATGTATAAAGTAATATGTTAAATGAATTGCTCAATTTAGGAGCCGTCAAGTTCAACAAAGTTTTGCCATGGGAAAGAGACGCCGACCTGACGTTCCTCACAGCAAACTACTCAGCCATTCAGAAACTTGGTAAGAAATTTCAAGCAGCTGGTTACAGTTTTAGCCCGCACAAGAACTCCCTGTGGTGTTGCGTCGATGGTCGGCAAGCTGGCGGCGAAATCTCGATGTCGGCCGATGGGTGGAGTGTAGTTTTATATGGCCAACACTTGATGGAGTCGGAAATTCTGGCAACTCGAGGAGAAGCGCCGACGAAGATAGACTTTGCTGGACAGATGGTGACAGTGGTTCGTAATCCTGGGCTCTTTGCAAGAAATCGCTACGGTACAAATTTATATCGTCATCAAGAGCATTGGTTGGATCGGGGTAAGCAGTCTGGATGGCATTTCTATGATCCAGGCAAGTTTGAAGGATGCCCAAATGAACAGCATTCCGGATGCCTTAGTCAGTATTCTATTGATGGAAACATGCAATTTGACAAGAATATATGCCCATGTACCTATCAAGCGCCTCAAAGGTGATAATAAAAGTTTAATTTATTCTTGTTAAGTTAGTAATTTAAATTAACAGTCCTTTTATTCATCCTATATATGAAGAGGAGTCTCAAGTTTGATTCATCTCAATGTAATGCCCAAAAGCATTCGCCACTGTATTCAGATCTCACAGTATGACGTATTATCACAAATAATCCGCCATCTTGGGTGCCACAAATTCTTTATTCAACCGACTACCACACATGCAGCTGTGAATCGTAGTATAACTCTTCAAAGTGCTCAAACACAAACAACAGCCGCGGTCAGATCCACAGTCTTTCTTGAACCGTTGAACGTCATGTTTGCATTTAATAATAACTATTTTTAATTTTCCATCCAAAATGGTGGAAGTCAACAAATACATGACGTCACTTGCGAGAGCCGGAATTGTTCGCTTAAATCCTCTTCAAATTTCATGAAAGTTGCGAAAATGTCGGCATGTTTTGACGCGACGCAGGGTTTATTGAATGGAGTAAACATGGCGGCATTCTGCGTAGCTGGGTGAAATTTAAGGAGGATTATACAAATGAATTCGGTATATAGTAGGTACTGTTTTTTATTAAATTTTGATAGGGGCATAAAATTAAGAGGAATTACACTTAAGACATCTTTTAATTATGTTTAACAATTTGTAACCTAACGTGGCGTTCAATAGGTCGATTGCACGTTACGGCGACCATGTCGGTGGATCTTTATCTTTCATTGAATTTGGCACCAAGATGGCCGCCGTATTATTGTCTTAAAATTCCCACAAGATTAGCTGCAATCCACCTATTTGTACAGATTAGTTGCAATCCACCTATTTGTACAAGTAGTAGTATCGTTTTGAGTGTAATTTGGAAAAAATATACATCAGTAAGTTTTTCAAAGACGATCAAAATTGAAGTCTTTAAAAACTTGGGAGTGTCTGTTTTTTGCAAATTGCACGAGAAACCATACTATTACTTATTATTCAAAAACTCAATATAAATTCATGAGGAAAACACAAAGAAAAATCATAAGCGTGTCGTATCTTTATAAGTGTAGAGATTTCCCTTGATTTACATAAACTTTAACTTTGATTTTCTCGACTTATACAACGTATTTTTTGAAAATTACTTCGCCAATGAACTTACTATAGCATGAAACACGTGCAAAATAAGTAATTTACTCACTCATTTGAATGGCACAACAACTTATAAGTTTTCGACCGTCGGAAGTCAAAGTTGGCGCTTGTCGCATACTTCCTTTTTTTAGTTTGCGTTGTATTTTCTTTTGGCGCTGTATTTCTTTTGCTGTTGGCAAACCAAATTCAATTTTCGCCATTTGAAGCATCTTTTATATATTATTCCAGGGCCATTGGAAGCCTCCTCTCCACACCCCCCCCCCCCCAATAATTTCCTCACCATCTTCTTCTACTGTGACTGATATTGTGTATTATTGATATTGTGTATATGGAGGATATTACACGGCGGCGCGAGGTCGATATCTTCACTGGTCGATATCTTCACGAGTGAAGCACGTGATCGATATCTTCACTAGTGAAGATATGGAAAATATCTCACTGTGTATTTCTCAGTATCTCACTCTCTACTATATAATAAATATCAATAGGAACAAAACCGATTCATTCATGTGATTGCATACAGAGCAAACCGTTGTTTTAAAACTGGGGCATGAAGTTGTAAACAGTTATAAAGTAAATTACAAAATCTTGAATTTTTACTTCTGACAACTTTGATAAAATGTTTTTCAGGGGCTTCGGAAACGCAAAATTTCTCTGGGGGAGCATGCCCCAGACGTTCTTGGTGAGCTCCCCTATACAATAATTTGCATCCGACAGCACTGTATTCCAGTAACGCTAAACGATTCTATTTAATTTAGGGGGTCCCAAAACCATTCAACATTCTTCAAAGCATTTATATTACTATACCAGGAAAATTCATTTGCTTATTCGGTGCATATATAGAATTGGCCTTTCTCACGCTGCCATTTTTGGGTGGCTTTTCAGCCGAAATCTGCGAGATAAGTACACAGAACAGCGACTTTTTATAATTTTTTGGACGAATGATGGTAAATTTGTTACTGATTGTAAATGGTTAGTTTATTTTGAAAAATTGCTTTTCACATTGTTTTATAATTGTCTGTATTGGTTGACGAGAATTAGATGCCACCCAAAAATGGCGGATACTCGTCATTATGAGAAAGGCTAATTGACAAAAATATTATCTTCTTAATTTGTACTGGATTTTATGACCTAAACGAATCAATAATATTGGCCGTTCTGGTGCTTTCTCGGCATCTAAAGTCTGGTCTGACCCTATAACCTAACGCTTAACCGTTCTACGTCCGACCCAGATCGAAAGACCAACCAGTGGCATGTGTATTGATTTTTGTGACGGTTATTTTAGTTTCGGTTGTAAAAAAGCCCTTTTATCAATGACAATGGAAGGTTCTCATCCGGGAACTTCTCACATCAGATGTTATTGAACAAGAGCCCCAACGTCGGCGAAAATACTCACGAGTCAAAATTGCGGTTTTTGAAAGAGCCTTATATAATAATTATACTATGGTATACTTTGCCGAAAAAACAATATAATTTGTGAAGAGGATATGCAAACAAATATCATGCAAATAATATAGCCTATAGAGTATATAGTTTGCCTATAGTATAGCCTATAGAGTATAGGATGAATTCAAACACAATCAAATATGAGTCCAGAACTTTCACTATTAACGTATGGTGTAAATTTAGTTCACTCGTTTTGGTACTGATATTAGTTTCTAATAGCTATGAAGTTTTGTATTCTACAGTATATACGCGTCAAAATCCGATAATAAATATTCATAGTAAACATTAATTGTGTATTGAAATTCTGCACTGTGGGGAGTAATTATAATCGTTGGCGTTGCATTCCTAAGCATATTTAACTAGCTACAACAAATTGTCATCCCGATCGTGGCTTGTTATACACTAACATGATTTGGTGATCATGTTACTGGGATGTAGTGGCGCTCTTGATAAATGAAGTCAAATTACATCCTAGAAAATGTGGATAACGGATTTATGTAAGGTGATAAAGACAGCTTAACTATACATCTTAATTGTTTTTTATTTCAAGCGTGCTGACAAATCTGACTATTTATATTCTACTGCTAAACATTTATTAGGTTGTTCACGTCGTTTTACATTTGTGTTGGTATTGTTTAGTTCTTTACTTAGTTATGTTGTTGAATCAAGTCTAGTATTAACTCTGTTCTTTGTAAATATTTGATAAAAAGCCTTTTATACTTTCGTAAGTTGTGTATCAGTTAGTGCAACGTCACAACCGCCATGTTGCATGGATGAGTTCGACAAAGTCCCGAGGGGGTACCCCTCATATTTTTTGTGGGGTGTACTGCCAGTGGTTAAATTTTGAGGTTGATCTAAATCAGAGCGATCTCAATTCGCGATTTAGATCCGTATTTTTTTGGACAAATACATATATATATATACATATAGGGGATTAAATATGAGAGATTTTGATTAATTGTTGTATATAATTAATAGGGTTATATAAAGGACATTAGGCCATTGACTTCGTTATTCATCCTTGATGAAGGGGCATGCCCCGAAACGTTGGTTTAGAATAAATGTTGTAATAAAAAAGTTTAGTTTGTGATTTATATATATATATATACGCTGAAGGAGAGAGGGTATTGGTTCTTGAAGAGTTTGGGTCATTAGGCAAATAATTGAAAAGTAAAACATCACTGCAATACATGATAATTTAGTCTTGGAGAGCTCAGATTTTATAGTTGTTTAAGATCGGTATTTTTTTTACCATTTCAGCCTGACTTAAAAAGTAGTGCATGGTTCACGTATGCGGGTTTTTCCTGTAGTTTGAACACTTTATTTCACATTTTGATTTACTTTCTCTTTTTATTAGTTACATGCAAGATATAGAATGCCTCCGTCATCAAAATTTTCGCTTTTGAATGCCACTCTTGCAATTTTCGTCGGTGTTATGTTTTTTATACCAGTTTATATATCGGTGAGTGTGCACGGGTTAAACAAGGTCTTTTTAAAAATGCTAAACATTGTGTTGTAAATACATATTACATCTAAATTGTAAATACATCTAGTTGCATACATATTTTGAGTGATTCATATATATACTTACTTACTTATTGTGATATTATCAGTTATTATTTTTAATATTTGTTATAGCTTTCTGAGTTGCCTGAGAGTGAAGGTATGTATGAAAATTTGTAGATAGTTGTTTTATTGATTAGATGGCTAATCTATTGATAGAATAGTTAATTAAACGATCAATTCATTATATGATTGATTCTTAATTCACGGATTGTTTGATTAAACTCAACGTTTATTAATAATAACGTATGTTAAATTATCAATTGATTATTTGATTTTACTAGTTGATTGGTTAATTATTGTCTAATTAACTGATTGATCGATTAGTTCGTTGATTGAATAATCGATGTTAATTAATTGATAATTAATTAGTTACTTGATCTATTCACTAATTTTTGGATATATATCTTTTTTGCTTAATTAGCCAATTAAATCATTGATTGATTGTTTGTCTAGTCAATTACACTATCAACTGATTACTTGATCGTTTAAATCACTAATCAGTGATAATTTTTTGAATGAATTGGTCAATGTAATTGAGTAAATCAATGATTAACTGATTATAATCATCTAATTAGAAACTAGATAATTGATTGATTATTTATTATTGATGGTTGTTGACCCACTAATTGATGGATTGATTTTTATCAAATAATCTCGTTTAAATTGTTGATTCGTTGATTAGTTTAATGACTGACCTATACATTTTAGACGATGATCCATCTTTGAGTGAGCCAACACTGCATGTCGCTAATACCTGCCTCGATTCACCTTCAATTTCACCAGCAGAAGATGGATCCGATAAAAATGAGGAAGAACGATTACTACCTGTTTTAACTGAAATTCAGACAACATGTGAGCGTTTTCAGTTGCCAGGGAAACCAAACCATGCGCTAACAACTGAACGAGAAGATCTTCGATGGAAATCTTATGTTTGTATTGGAGGAAAGTTTGGATTGAAGAAACATGATTGTTGGGTCTATTCATTTGGGTAAGAATATATATTAAGTTTATATAAGTGGGTTGCACTAAGAAATATCGTAAAGCACATGGTAGCAGTTGACGTCGGTGTAATGGAAATATTTGTCATTCTTTTCTCTATCGTATCTCTATTTAATTCACTATTTTATTGGATGTCTCCATCTTGTCTGGATCAGTAGGGGTTCTCTGACGTTGTAAAACAAAAAGTTGTGCAGAAATACATAAACTAAACTAGCAGGTTAATTTTAATTTGAGGGTTAAGGCTAATCCAGCTATGAGAAATCATGCCCTGGATTTTCCGCCACTCATCTCATAATTTTCCAAAATCATCGCATTATGATTTCTCTTATCTTCTCCGATATATCGCAACAACGCCAGCTTCCGTTCTTTTGTCATTTTATTTTTGTTAGTTTGTCTGTCAACCAGGGTCGAAACTAGTTGGGGGGGGGGTTTGGGGGGACACCCCCAATCTTGTAATATTGTAGTTTCGTCGGGCAAGTTCGACACGCTCGTCGGGCAAAAACTATGTAATTTAGCAAAATCTTTTACATAATTTATCGAAAAGTAATAGTTGTGAGAAAATTTTGATAAATTTATGAAAATACTACTGAAAAATTTGTGTTTTGGGGCAAATTACCGAAACTTTGTATGGAAAAATTTGGGGAAAAAAGGCAAGGGAAGCAATTAAACGTCGGGCACTCCCTATTGGTCGGGCGAAACAAGCTCGCCCCCCCCCGTAATACCGAAGTTTCGGCCTTGCTGTCAACGATATTTCAAGTATTATTATTACTGTTCTTTTCTAAGCAACTACTCTTTTCTATTCGACTGTAATCTTTCTTTCGTGAAGCCTATGTCTTTGAACGATATATTAAAACTACATAGTTCCACTAATGACATGAGTATTTTCGTATTTTTATTTCAGTATCAAACATTCATGGGTAAAATTTCCAGAAGAGGTGGAAAAGGATCTTGGCTGCCGTGTCTACGGTTTTGATCCAGGATTAGACTTCATTGACCATTATTATTCGAAGAATATAAGGTTTTTCAATGCGAGGTTGTCCAATAAAGACCAACAAGCACAATATAATGTACCAGGTCCCCCGGGATGGAAATATAGAAAATTGTTAACATTAATTAAGGAACTTCATTTTGATGACGTAAGTCGATGTTCTCTAAGCGAGTGGGGGAGGGGTGGGGGTTGAAAATGTAATGCGTTATCATTCCAGTTTTAGCCAAAATGTAACGTACAGCACTGCAGGGCATGTTTTAACATACAAGGGAGGGAACATTTGCTCGAGTCAATATTTACCCCCCATCTTCTTTTCTCTAAAAGTAAGCAAAACATTGGACGAAAAATGAATTTAGAGAAATTTATCCCAGTAACTGAAATTTGCTTTGTTAATCTTATGCCATGTCTTTCCTCATCAAATGATTCAATAGGGCCATTTATACGGGACAAAATAAGTCACGACTTACATTAAGCCCGTTCTCCACTACGCGAATTTGTTCGCGCGACGCGAAGCGAAAACCGAAATCGGGAAACGTGATTGGTCGGCGAAAAAATTCGCGGCGAAAAAGTAGGATCGCTTCCTACTTTTTATCTGTTCGCTCGAATAAATTTGCCTAGTGGAGAACGGGCTTAAGACGCGTCTTATATAAGCGGATTTATCGCAATTACTTGCTATAGCTATAATGTTGTCTTGATTGTTTTTGTTTTAATATGCAAGGCTAATAATTTTAGGTTTCGGGCATGTGCAGTTAGACTTTTTATACAAAATGTCTTATTTAAGACGCGACTTAAATAAGAACAGCTAAAAATCCTGTTCTTAATTAAGTCTCGTCTTATCCAAGACGCGACTTACATAAGAATTTTGTACCTTTTATACGACAAACTCGCGTCTTATTTAAGTCGCGTCTTATGTAAGTCGCGACTTATTTTGTCCCGTATAAATGGCTCTAATGTCTTTTCAAAAATGCTAAACATTGTGTTGTAAATGCCTTAGATTTAAAAAAAATCCCAGTGGATAACATATCCCAGAATAGATTTGAGCTGTTGGAAGGCTGGGCTAAACAAGTTAGTGACCGTGTTGTGGTAATTACATAAAAACACACCATGCAAGTACTTAACTGAAGATTCAGTCTATCTACAGTATAATGCAACGCTTTATATCGATAAACAAAAATCTTTTCAGAAAACGCACGAAAAATACAAACTTTTTCTTGAGGAGAATGCCCCCAGACCACCTACTATGTACATACAACTGTTTTTCACCAGTAACCAGTAACCATCTGTCATCTCTCCATACTCAGTATAGTATGGTCCCATTCTGTAGATTGCCCTCCCCCTCCCCACACTGAGGAATTCTTAAGAGGCCCTGCAGCACGGCTAAATTCCTCTTATGAATTATTAATGCTTAGTTTGATAAAAATACTTTTCGTCAAGGTTTGTGTTGATCAATTCTTTCTTTTCAGGATCCAATCGACCACGTGCGACTGGATATAACAGTGGACCTGTGGCCTGGAATATCTACTATGCTTAAAGATGGCAGTCTTCTGACTCATGTCAAACAACTTAGCTTAGAATATGACTTGAATAAGAAAACAGCCGATCAGATCAGAAAAATGTACACCATCACGCAATGGTTGAATAAACAAGGATTTCTCTTAGCCCACAGCCAGCCAACGAAGCTTAGTGGTAAATCATATTCCGTTCTTTATGTTAATACTATGATGGATATGGTGCTGAAGCGTAGTCGAGAATTCAGTGAATAGTAAAATGACTTCTAACCGTTTTAGGGACTGATTACATGAAGATTTTTCAGCCGGGTTTCCTGGCTGACATTTCATAAAATCCTAAACACAACAAGCGATTACATAACAAACATTTCAGCCAGCCATACAAAACTGTTGCGAGACTTGATGATTGCACAATTTTCATTGAGACTTGATTGATTGCACACTTGATGATTGCGAGACAATTTGCCTAGTGTAGCAGCGGTTTGCCTTTGATCAGTCTGTTCTATTTTTAAATGCAACCAAAGTTTCGCAGAATCAAATAATTAACATAAGGCCCGGCTGAAGATTTCATCCCCGTTTGAACTACTGAAATTTTAACTCTGGGTTGAACCTTGCCATGTAATCGTAAAATAATTTCAGCTTGGTTACCGGGTTGAAATTCAGCCCGGGCTGAAAACTCTCCATGTAATCAGCCCTTTACACGTACGAGCTGAAGAAAAAAGGCGGGAAACCCTACATTTTATCAACAGTGTTGTGGAAGCGTACAAAACCACGTGATAGAAAGTTATGTTGTGTAAAGATATCGCTTAATATTTAATTCTCAATGCTCATTTACATACCGTACGTCTTTCGTATTTCCTCTGGAGAGTGGTGGAAAATTCCATAGAAACGTTCTAAATTTTTCCACAAAAGTTCTTATGGAGAAACTCTGACTTGGGTTGGCTGGTTACGGACCTGGATGGGGCCACGTGTACAATTGTTGCAAAACGCAGTATTCCAAGCGTTTTACAACTGTTTAAAATAAATAATTGTGTGGAATTATTTTCTTGTATTTACTTTTATGGCGCGCCGAACCCATCATAATCCTAAACTTCCTGAAATAAGTTCTGTACTCTCAAATGAGGCTTCTAAACTGTATAAATTCATTTTAAACATGATTTATTTCTGGCAAACGTCGACGATTCTTCTTAAATTGTCAAATATGCCTAATTTCGAGTTATTTATTATTTCTCAATTCCAATAAATTACGGCTTGAAATGCGAGCATACTATAATAATTGTATATACGAGGCATGAAAATATGAATTTTGCCATTGTCAACAGAGCTTGGATTCATTTCTTTTGTGCTACATGATTAACAGCACCCTTGACCGTACCTACAGTTACGATCATCTATGACAGCATAGTTTCAGAAATATTTTCGTCTTGGCAAGTTCGTATTGGCAAAAGTTCCAGGGGAATGCACCCACAGAAAATTTTGTGTTTTATAAACTCTCTAAAATGCATTTCCTGTGATGTGCGGGAACATTCTAGACAATTCTGAAGATTATACACTAATCATTCACTCCAAGCTCATAAAGAGATCTTTGATGAGAGACAACGCGGTTCATAATATCACAGCCACCTCGAAATCCTTTGTTTAGCGAGGGACGATTAATGACTAATTTACCTCATTGCTAAAACGTGATGAGGGACGATTAGAAACTAATCATCCCACGGGACGATTAGTTACTAATCGCCCTTCATCTTTATGCATAACGTAAATAAACCTAAACATGAAAAATGAACCGTAACCTCGTTAACGAACATCCCAATAGTCGTTAGTGATCAAAAAGCAAACGCGCCTTTTCATTTCAACTTATTCAATCGAGTGAAACCGTTTCATTGTCTCGGTATAGCTATGATATTACAAGTGATACTAGCATGGCGATTAGTGATGAATGTCCCTCAAGCGTCGAGAGGTTTAGTAAAAGTTAAACTAAACCTCTCTCGGCTTTCGGGTACAATTTAATCACTAATCGCCCTGAATGCCATGCATGCGTTATTACTTATATAATTATCATTTCAATTTCATTCAAATTATTCTCGCTCAAAATGTTTTGATTAATTACTGTCAAGTGTCAAGGCGAGTTTTTAGTTCAGTTTTTCTGCTCATTGCCTCATTTTCTTGTTAATTAACATTTATTTAGTCAACTTATCACAGCATATTTTATCACTGCACATTTTATCACTGCACATTTTACTTTTATCACTGCATAAACTGGCTATCACTACACTCTAAAATTAGGTCATGATTCTGAGTATTTGTGTAATGGCTAGTCAGCTATCAAATTCCTGCAAAAAGTGAAGGGCCGTGAAGGCAGAGCACCAGGGCCCACCAGTGACCCTCAAGTTTTCGCAATGCCCCTTCGGAGCGTGTCAATTATTGAGAACCCGATTACTTATTTAGTTATTTTGTGTATACAGTATTATAAGTGAATATCATTGGACGGGATGTCACGGGGTCGAGGCTAACTCCACAAACACGAATCTCAAATTCGCATGCAGGGATCGAAATCCCCCGCGAAGCACGGTGGTTGGTTGCTATGCATTTTGCTCCCGGAAGCGCGGGCTTCGTTTTTTCCAGCGGTGTTGGTGTGAATGCGAAATGGCGTTGTCTTTAATAGCGAGAAAACGGCTCCCTCATCTCCGCTTAAATAAAGGCATGTGCAACTGATTTCTTTTGTAAACTATAACTCGGTCTTCTGTAGTTATATTAATGTAAAAAAAACTTGCGTAAGGCACACAATAAGCTTTTATCGAAGTCAAGAAACCAGCTAACTCAAGACGCGCAGCATGAGGTGAAGTAAACAAATATGAACCTCGCGTGACTTGCATGACAGATCTCCTTGGCTTCTATGAGTTAAAGAACAGAACTTTTCCCCCAAAACTATCGGGTAGTGGTCTCTGTGTGTTGCACTCTCCTGGATGTCCTTTATTTCGATCACATGTTTGACTTTTATGGCAATAATCTATCGAACTAAAAAGGCAACACAGCGGGAAGTGAAGCAACAACATGGCGCAGCATGAACGCGTATAAAATGCAAATGCATTCGTCAAAGAGACTTTTTCCCACACCTTTCTCCGGCACTGCTATCCATTTAGACTTGTTAAATAAATGCTATTCTTCAACTTTGCCTTGAAAAGTTTCTCCGAAATCAAGTTTCAACAAAAATATTTAAAAAAAAACAAGGAAAAATGCCGAATTCAAGGGGGGATTGTAGGCCATGCACGTGCGATGCTGTGGGACCCCTAGACAGTACAATTTGTCCTTCTCGGCATGATTCTCATCGCTCACAAGGCGAAAATACATGGCCACAACAACACCAACATTTTACCGTTTTCAAATAACCGTATAGGTTATTTGTGCACACGAGCTAATAGACGGTTCGATGTAGTACAGATTGAGCAAGTATCGTTTTAAAACGTTGAAAAATAAACGCAAACAGGAGCGCCAAAGACGCAGTATTTGAACCGCGCCATAATTTACAGCTCAATCTCGTACCCAGAGCCATCGTTGAGTGGCTCTGGCCACACGAGTTGAGTTAATTAGAAAATACGGTAAAAGTACAGTATTTTCCAATTAACTATTTCGTACCCATTCTCCGGGAATTTGCGCGCGCCATAGTATTTTCAAGAGGAGTGGAGAGCTAACTTTTTGCTGAAAATATCAATAAAATCGCAATTTTTCCCGTCAAAAGCATTAAAATATGTTCGGCGCAGTTAGTGTGAACAACAAGGATACTGAGTGCACGTGTGATTTCCGTTTCACAAGTAATTTGAGATGATTGAAACACCGGCTTGTACACATGTCAACACTCATCGAGTCATCGATCAAATATTTTGTCTCAAATGGCTTCTATTTCCTTCAAAATGTTCCGATTTCTTCTTAAGGTATAAGTACGTTTAATTATTTGTTATATGAATGTAATTTAATAACTCTCAGCTTTATTAAATAGGCTATTCTTGAGCAAGAAAGTTGCTTGTTGCACACTGCCTTGGTTACTGTAAACAACGTTCAATTTTACTATATATTTAATAACATTTAAACACATATCACAATAAAACAGCCGGTTCGGCACTGGCGCTAGCTTTGTTATATTTTCGCCATGTCTGGAGGCGTGAACTCTAAAAAGAAGGCGGGTTGTGGGCGTGCCACACTAGCTTCTGATTGGCGCGTTGTCTCTACGTCATTACTATCATTTATAATGTTAATATAAACCTGAACCGTTCGATACACTCCCGAGGGTTAATGTTTGTACTAATATAACTATTAATAAACTTAAATCACGTTATTGTGTCACACAGTATCTTTACGATTGTTCTGACTTCGTAGGAAGTATTTAGTAACAACTGTACTCCTTGCGTTCGCCTTCAGCGGTTCCTTTGAAGAGGCATCCTCTTTCGTCTCTTCCGTCGTAGGATCCCTCGCGTGCGTTTCGTTCTTCTGTTTGCAACTCGACCGTATTTCTAGAGGAACAAGGTGTTGTATGGGTCTTCGTAACCATGTTGATTTTCCATTCTCTTGATTAACTACGCGTACCTTTGCCGCTCTAATAACACCGTCTTTACTGGGGAGTAATTCCTCCACCCTAGCTACCTTCCAAAATGATCGTGATGACTTGTCGTTCTTTAAAACTACGATCTCTCCTTCTTCTATCGCCAGCTTACGAGCCGCATCCGACGAAACCTTTGACCTTGATGACTCTCTTAAACTAGTGAGATACTCCGTTCTCCATTGCTTCGCAAACTGGTTTAAAAGCCTTTTGTGATACTTCTGCCGTCGAGTTAGGGATTGATTTGTACTGATCACTTCGAATTGCTTATCGTTTGGCGTTGTAGCGATGTTTCGACCATAGATCAACGATGCAGGTGTTAACGGATAAGACACGCCTTCTTCATCATCGTATACGTAAGTCATAGGTCGATTGTTCAGCGTAGCTTCAATCTCAATCAATAATGTGCGCATTTCTTCAAACGATAATGATGCTCGACCCACCGCCTTTTTCAGACAGCGTTTGACACATTTCACCATTCTTTCCCAGAAACCCCCTTGCCAGGGTGCCTTTTCCACTATAAACTCCCACGTGATTCCTTTGTTCGCCAAATACCGCTGAACTTCCATAGATCTCGTAATTCCCTTGACTTCTTTTGCAGCCGCTTTAAACGTTTTCGCGTTATCCGATAGTAACTTTGTCGGTAATCCTCTTCGAGCGGTGAATCTTCTAAATGATTGTAAGAATGTAGACACTGATAAATTTGGCACAAGTTCAAGGTGTAACGCTCTTGTTGACGCGCAGGTATAGAGACAAATGTACGCCTTTTGCAACTTTCGTTCTTTATCATCTTCACCTTCGGTCGTTAAATATAGTGGTCCAGCGAAGTCCATGCCGGTGTGAGCAAAAGGTGGATCATCGCTTACTCTACATGATGGTAGCTGGGCGAACTTTGGTGAACCGTATGGCTTCCCTTCGTGTTTTCTACATGTAACACATACTCCAATTACACGTTTAACGGCTTCTCGACCTCTTGGAATCCAATATACTTCGCGAATGCAGTTCAATGTTTCTTTGACACCGTTGTGATGGACGACTTCGTGACAGTTGCGAATTACAAGTTGCGTATAGAAATGTCGTGCAGGAAGAAGTATTGGCCGCTTTGTCGTCATGGGTAATGATGATTTATCTATTCGACCTTGGCATCGAATCGTACCTTCTTCGTCCAAGAATAAATCCAACTGTCTTACGAGCAGCGGTTCTTTCTTCGAAACTCCTTGGAGATATGACCTTTCGTCTTCGAAATTGCTTGCCTGTATGGTATTCACCCAAAGTTTTTCAGCTGCTCTTAGTTCATTCGCAGTTACTTCAATTGGCACTGGCTGTCTCCTCGTTTTGTCACCGAATCTCTTTAATAACGCTGTTACTCGTAAAAGTTGCTCTTTGGTACTGTACCGGTTGCAATCCATGATGGCTTCTACGTTAGGTGGGGTGATCGTAACATTGGCTAAAGCTCTCGTTATCGTTGGTTCAATCTTGGGCTTCGTGATTTCTGCGAACGCGCTCAGTTCGTCACTCTTCGTAGGTCCTGGTTCACTCGGCCAAGCCTCCTCGGTGCTTCGAATAAACTCTGGACCGTTCCACCACGTCGTATTCTTCGTTAACTCAATTCCGCGACTTCCTCGAGATGGCAAATCTGCGGGGTTTTGTTCGCCTGGGCAAAATCTCCAGGATTCTTTCTCGACAAGGTCCCGTATCTCTTGGACACGATGATTGACGTAAGATTTCCAAACTTTCTCGTTTCTGATCCAACACAAAACTGTGTAAGAATCAGTCCAACAAAATACTTCAGGAGTCGTGTTCAATGACGTTAGCCCTTTCTGGACAGAGTTCATCAATCGAGCTAGGATAGTTGCACCCAGTAATTCTAGTCGTGGTATGGATTGTTTTTTTATCGGAGCCACTCTCGTTTTGGAGGCCACAAGATTTACTTCAATCTCTCCGTTATGATGAACTGTTCGCAAATACACTACGGCTGCGTAGGCCTTCGATGAGGCGTCACTAAACCCGTGAAGCTGGTGACCTGTCGGTTTCTCTTTGGTTCTTCGGAAGTAACATCGAGGTATTCGAATGTCGTTCAATGCTGAGAGGTCTACGATAAATCTTTTCCATGCCGCTAACTCTTCTCCGTCTAACACGTCATCCCAATTAACGCCATGAACACACAGAGTTTGGAACAAAACTTTCATACAGATCGTAAATGGGGTAAGGAATCCAAGTGGATCAAACACTTTAGCCGCGAGTCGTAGCACTGATCGCTTCGTAGGATTAAGTGTTGCCGCAAAGTTCACCAATGCAGTTAGGTCATAGTGAATTTCATCAGTGTTGATATTCCAATTCAGTCCTAGAATTTTTATAGAACATTCTGGTTTCGGATCGTCATCAGCTTCGGATCGCGCGGACAAAATGTCGTCATTCGCTTCGTTTGAATCTCTCTCAGTTCGGTTTTCCTTTTCTGTCGAGTTGGTAAACACGTCTTGCTTACTCCCGAGGGGTTTCACTTCAGTTAATACGGTTTCGTCGACTTTACTGCACTTCAGTTCGCCGGCGACTTTCGTCCGAAGAATTGTCGAGTTGGAATTCCATTTTCGCAATTTAAATCCGCCAGAGTTCATGATGTCGTTTGCTTTTTCGTAGATTTCTAAAGCCTGGTCGTCTTCCATCGCACCTCCAACCAAATCATCCACGTAGAACGACTCTTGCAACAATGCAACGACTTCGGGCTCTTTCGTTTTGTGCGATTCCAAATGACGTTGTATAACCGAATTTAAAATAGCTGGGCTTGGGGTCAACCCAAATACTAGGCGACAAAACTGATATTCAACAATGTCTGGATGTTCCTTGCGTATATCGTCGAACCACAAGAAGCGCAACATTCGCCGGTCATCTGGATTTATCTCAATCTGGTGGAACGCCTTTTCCACATCGGCCACGATTCCTACAGGGTAACCCCTGAACTTTACAACGACGTCAAATAGGTGGGGAACTAAGTTCGGTCCCTTTTCCAGGCAGTCGTTGAGGGACAAATTCGATGAACCGTGCTTCGCTGACCCGTCGAAAACTACTCGAACCTTCGTAGTCGCCTTATCTTCTCGAATCACGCCGTGATGAGGTAGAAAATGCGTTGCTTCATCGCTTGCCGAACATCCAGGGACTTTCTCGATTATACCTGACTTTATTTGCTCTTGTATGACTTCATCGTACTGTTCAAGCAGCTCTTGATCAGTTCTCAAGCGTGAATGCAGTTGTCGTAGTCGTTTCGAACATGGAAAATATCCATTTGTTGTGGGCATACGATCATCCTTCCAGGGAAGGCTCACTTGATATCGACCCTGGTTCTTGTTGAAATTTGAATCTCTCAAAAACTCCTTCTCCAGCGACGGGTTTGGCTCGAAGATGCCAAGCGATTCTGTGTCCCAAAACCTTTGAACAGCGCGGATCAAACCTTCGTCTCCAACACTTTCCACTGGATCGAACATCAGCGCAGAATCCGTTTTCTGAACAATGAGTTGCGTGATAGTTGCATTCTTTCCAGGTGTCTTTGCATAACCACTGCCGGAGACCATCCATCCGAATTCGCTATTAACTGCCACAGGGCCCCCGTCTCCCCGTTGTATCTCACCCGTAATTATGTCGAAATAGTAGTCGGAACCAATTAAGATGTCGATATTCTGTGCCGAATCACTGTCGTTAAGCAGACTTTCATCAGCCAGATCCAACCCTTGCAGGTGTGTATGTCGGTCAAGGTCAAGCGTTGTCAAAAGGGGCGAGCAAATCTTAGGATAACAGAGTGCTGCGATTTCAATGTCTTTCGATTTCCCTTGCAATTCTACACGAACTCGATCGCATCGTTGTTTAACAAATCTATCATCTCCGAATGTATTCAAGTTCAAAACTTCAGTTTTTCCGAGCTAAGACCTAGCTTTTCCTTCAACGACTCTGTCACATACGATCGCTGGCTTCCGCTGTCCATCAAGACACGTACAGGAATTAAAGCATCTTCCACTTTCGAGTAAGCATACGCAGTCGCAGTTTGCAAGAAAACTTTACATTTCGATCGAGTTGCTGCAGTTGTCGAATTTTGACATGCAGTAATGGTTGCGCCTTTGCTTGCACTTGTTTCGGGCTGCTCTTCTTTAGTTGTCGATTTTGAATCACCGTCCTTATAATCCTTATCTTTTCCACCAGCGTTTGGGAATTTTGCCACAACCTTTTCGCAAATTGATTGGTGATGTCGCCCTTCGCATCGACGACACCTTTTCGACGGATGACATTGGTTGGCACGGTGACCGACTTGTAAGCACACGAAACAACGATTGTCTCGCCTCAAAATTTCCTTTCGCTCACTGGGTTTCACTTTCGATTCACACGAAGCTGAATAATGCAGATTCCCACAGTAGGCACATCTGATCGCACCATACGGTTTACTATCCCTCCCTTGAGCTGCTAGCGAAGTAGTCGTAGATGGAAAACGAGGTGGTGGTTTTACCTTCTTCTCGCTGTCGGCCCTTACATGATCACTTAATTCACGAGCTTCCACTTCCTTTCGTATTATCTCTAATAACTCCTTTATCTCCCATACCTCTTTATCCGATTTTCTAGCGATTTCAAGTCGAACGTCCCCAGGTATCTTGGACATAATAACTGGAATTAGTAAACTCCCGTACTGATCCGGTTTCACACCAAGAGCTTCTAATCCTCTAACGTTGACACTTACTTTGTCATATACAAACCGCAATTGCGATGATTTCTCCCCAACACATGGAGCTAACTTCAAAAGTTCATCCATATGGGCTGCTATGATTTGTTGCGATTTCCCGAATCTCTCCTGTAATATATCAATAGCCGATTGGTAGTTATCCGCTGTAACTGCCAGTCCCTTTATTGCTCGAAGTGCATTTCCCTCTAATAATGACAAAAGATAGTTAAACTTGTCAATGTTTTTTAAATACGAATTTCGGTGTACAGCGCTCTGGAAACTTTCCCAAAAAGTTCGATAGTTTGTAATATCTCCTTTGAATTTCGGTAGTACCAACTTGGGTAGCTTAATTGCAGGTGCGTAGTGCACTGTCGATCCCGGTTGTAACACAGATTGTACCGTTGATGCGTTGATGGTATTTGATGATGCTTCCACTTGGTTCGCTTCATGATTGTTCGATGTTTCCACTTGGTTCGAACCATGACTGTTCGATGTTTCCACTTGGTTCGATTCATGGTTGCTCGATGTTTCCACTTGTAGTTGCTCGTCGTTCGATTGACTTGTCCCCTCGTTGGAGACAACATCAGTGTTTATTTCGCTTGTTTTAGAAGTCGTTGGCCCAGGTTTATCGATTACCTTGCCCGTCGCACTCGTAAATTTCTCGATTCTACTACTTACATCGCTTGCTCTCGAAAACATTTCTTCCGTTTCTTCGATTTCTCGTTCGATATCGTCGATTTCGCATAACTCTAGCACTTGAGCATCGAGCTCTTTAAGTCGTATTATTTTCTCGTTTAACAAATTCGCTATTGTTCGTAGTCGATCCTTATTCGTTTCACTCCCCCTGATCTAACAGCTCGATCGCTTCTTTGCTGTATCTCGTAACAACTCCCCGATTTCCCGAGCGAATAGCTCGTATCCTTTTCAAATCTTTGTTCGGCTCGCTCATATTCTCGCGTAAACAACTCCGATATTTTCGATTTTAATTCGATCTTTCGTCAAAGCTAGCGCCCCACGTTGGGCGCCATGTAAACAACGTTCAATTTTACTATATATTTAATAACATTTAAACACATATCACAATAAAACAGCCGGTTCGGCACTGGCGCTAGCTTTGTTATATTTTCGCCATGTCTGGAGGCGTGAACTCTAAAAAGAAGGCGGGTTGTGGGCGTGCCACACTAGCTTCTGATTGGCGCGTTGTCTCTACGTCATTACTATCATTTATAATGTTAATATAAACCTGAACCGTTCGATACAGTTACCTTTAAATATTCTTTAATTTGTTACAATTTATATTGTTCATGTCATTATTTTGTTTCAAGGTTAATTATTGAATCTTGGGCTCTGAATTTCCATCCTAATTGTAGTCTATTTAGGATACCACAAAAGATATTGTGTACCCCCTAAAAATGCAGCAGATTTTCAGAAATTCTATAGCATTCTGTGAGCTGATCATACCCAGTATGTATTACTATTATACATGCATTATTATGAATCTATCATACCTAGGGAATTTAAAACCAAATATTATTCTTCATACAATGATAAAATAAAGATATTTTTCTCAATAAAGGAGGACTGTACTGCTGTAGCACTTGAGCAAAAGCCGTAGCAGTATACCTGTGTGTGTTTAATGGTTGACTATTTTATAACTTTAGTATTACATTTCTTTCAGATACACCTGGCACTGTACATATGATAATCTTT